TCCCCCCTTTCTGAAGAAGTGTCCAGACCCGAAACGTCAGCTTTCCTGCTCCTCTGATGCTGCTTGGCCTGCTGTGTTCATCCAGCTCTACACCTTGTTATCACATGAAACATCACAAGTGTGCAGCTGAAATTTTGTGGATTTTCAGAGCTGTTTAAAAAGAATCATATTTCAGTTGTCTATACTCTCAGGATTCAACCAAATGTATCCATGCTGTCACATATTGCTCAATGTTCTCCCTCTCCTCCTGTGTTCACAAATTAAATAGATATTAGTTATGAGTAACATTTAATAGATTTATCATTTGTCATGTAACACTTATCAAAATGCAGCCTCAAAGCCTTTAAAAATTTTCCAGCCTGGCTTTTCTGTTCTCACTGAGGTCTAGAGTATAACACAGTTTACAGCACTCTTTCTCTAGCGCTGCTAAACAAGTTGCTACTCTAATTTGTTCAGGCTTCTTATCCAATTCTGTAGCTAACTCCTAGTTTTGCTACTAAGATTGGAAGAAATTTCAATTCTCACATATTTTTCATCCCATAGCACAGCAGATATAAAAATTCAGAAGTTGAAAACTACAGTTCTAATTCTTGCTTACTGTTTTTTATAACAACTCTGAAAATCCACAAAATTTCAGCAGCACACTTGTGATGCTATGTTTCATGTAACGTGGTTAATGGTTTCTCAAGCTAAATTGAAAGCAAACCTACAGTAAAGGTTACATGGCCACAGCAAGCCACAAGAGTGTATAAGTGCCCTTACAAATGCATTTCTCAAAACAAGTTTAGATAGTTCAGATGTTTTGCTAACTTGGCTTGTGGAAGATTGAGGAATTGCCGAATAGAAAGATTTAAAATGATAAAACAAATCTGAAGGATGGATAAAGAGAAAATATTTCTCTAGTAGAGCAATCTAGAACAAGGGCAGGACAAATGTCTGTGCACACTACACATTCAGTAGGTTCCTAACCAATGCAAGGAAAGTGCCATTGTTTCCAACACTATTTATACAGTAGGACTGACAGAGTATTCAGAGGAAGCTATAGGGTACACAGATATCATGCATCATATTGAAAATCTGCACAAAGGTACAGTGAAACCTATATTGTTACAGAAGCGATACATGAACTAGTAATTATTCAAACAAATTAACATACCAAAGGCACTTCTGCAATTGGCCCTGTGCAATCCGCACGGCCAGCTCCAATACGATAATAGCTTGTAGGTTCTTCAGGTGGGGTTGATTCTGTAACACAAGATTCAGAATCTCAAAGGGCATATTAGGCACTGGATATTAATTGAAGTAAAAACCCTGGATCCCAATCAATTTTCTAAGATGTTCAGGTGGTAAGTCAGTACAGTGCATTCTCCAGGCACCTTACAGATCTTCTGAATGATGCTATGCCGCCAATTTGTAAATACACCTGATGGAAAGGGAAAGCAGCAACAATAAATATTGGATAATTTAGATATGACTTCATAGTAGATTTGGTTCATGTTTGTGGCCAAGAAATTCTATTCAGGCCTCCTCCAGCTGGTAGTTATCACAGATACAGGGCCAGAATGAGCAACAGAAGCAACTGTGAAGAGACCTGCAGATATAAAAACAAGGATGAAAAAAATAGGATGTGTCTCATGAGATCATGTGAACTCACAGAGCCAAAACATTGGCCCAGATATTCCAACAGTCAGAGAGTAATTGGAGCGGCACTGACGGAATTGCAAGTTAATGTTATGCAGAAGACTCCATGGGAATTTGTACCTTGTGATCGGCAATTACCATGTCTGGAACACAGCTTAGTTATTTTGCTGATAACAAATAATCAACTCTTAGTGAATCAGTGTATTGATGTAAACATTTAATGTTCCATTTTGTAGCACAAGTTGCTTTGTGTTTTTGTTCAGTGACAAAACCTACAACACCTTGAAGAGAATTTTTCTCTACTCCACCCAGCTACTTACCAGCTGTTGATGCTTTTTCAGCTTTCGCAAAGAAAAGATAAATGAAGGTCACAGCCACCACTGTGACGAGAACAAGCAGAACAAATAGCGCAATCGTCAGGGATGAGCAGATGTTTCTTTTATTTCTGGAACTCATTCTTCAGATTAAACCTGTATAGAAATAAAACAGTTAGAGCACTTGAAAAGAATTGCAGCCAGAATCTACCCAACCAGGTCCAATTGCCATCACGGCTCTGTGAGAACTGAGATATATTTCTTACCACCTTCTGTAAATCTTTTACTAGTTGCTGCCTTTCTAATGTTACAGATACCCAAGGCTCTTGGGGTATAGCGGCATTGACCATACCACTGAGCCAGGAAGCCTGGGTTCAGGTCCCACCTGCTCCTGAGTTGCTACAAAATATATCTGAACAGGTTGATTAAAAATATTTACACACATCATCTTGAGCAATGTACATTGTTAATTTTGTAGCCAATGCAAAAACCTATATTTTTTGGTAACTTATTACTTGGAATATATGTATGACAGTGGCAAGCCACATTTAGTGTCATTACAGAATCACTTCAGAATCTAGCGGTAGGCCAGCATGAATTATTGAAATGCCTGGAGTCAAGATATTCCAACAAAGGGTATGTGCTTCAAGTGATAGTTTGTACAACTGAAGAATGTTATGACTGAACTGGGAAGGGTGCATTAATAATCACACTTCACTTTTCCACATGCCGTCCCAGTAAGACACCAAGATAATCAATTCAAAAGCTGAAAGAACTGCGGATGTTGTAAATCAGAAACAAAAACAGAAGTTGCTGAACAGTTCAGCTGGTCTGGAAGCATCTGTGGAGAGAAATGAGAGTTAATGTTTTGGGTCGAGTGAACACTCCTCAGGACTGGGGGTCACTGGACTTGAAACATTAACTCTGATTTCACTCCACAGATGCTGCCAGACCTGCCGAGATTTTCTAGCAAATTCTGTTGGAGATGATCGATTTGCCTGACTGATTGTTATTCAGTCAATTCACACCAGATTTTGTCATTAACAGAAAATAATTATTTATTGGAAAGCACTTTAGTACAAATCAGTGGCTAGAAGGAATTTCTAATCTACTACTACGCAACATAAACTAGACTCCTTAAAAACCTCAAATAGACACAAACACACAGTTTCAATTACAATTTAGCCAGACAAAAGACAAACTGTTTGACACAGATACTAGTGTGGAAAAAGAACGCGGATAAATGTGAATAAATTTTAGACAGTGATTTTGAGGATGAATTAACTCATCTCTCAGAGACTTTTTTTTTGATTTTTAACAATGATGACATGCTGTTTTCTGTAGGTTGAAGGTCAGTCTTTGATTCGATTGTTGAGCTGGTGCCAATTCCAGCTGTATTAAGGATCATGCCGTTGGAGTACAAACATGTTGTGTAATCTGTACAGAGACTGCTCTTTGAATCGAATAAAAAGCTACATAAGTTATACCAGGACCTCTACCACAGTTCCACAGCAGTCACACTAAAACTTATGAAATTAATATGAGTCATGATATTTCTAAGGAAAATTCAACTTTGACTCTAATCTATCTGAGGGGGCTCTAGGATTTTAAAATTTCTCCGTCTTTAAACCATCTGCCTGTTTCCTTTACCTCGTGTCCCACTTGAAGCTGACAGGATGTTTTAAGAGTCAACATTAGACCCTGGAGGGTGCTCATGGATTCAGTCTTTAAAGTCACCACCAAGACATTGCAGGAACATGAAGAATGGAACACAGTTTTTCAGAGAGAATAAAGACAAGAGGAGAGGGAGAGAGAGTGAATAAAACAAACTGGGAGCTCTTAACTGCATCTAATCTGAGGGAGCACCTGCGAGTTAAGCAGAAAAACAGCAATATAATACAATGAGCTCACCAATACTCTGCATCTCAATTATCTTCTATTTATCTTTTCTTTTGCTAATGATAAAACGCTGTTCAAAGGACAGTGGCAATAAAAAAAATGTAGTCTTCTGCTTGTGTCCTAATGCCCAAATACTAATCTCTTCATCCCCACCTCTCTGCATTCCCACAGTGTCCTGGTTATGATTTCACAGCCCACATCCATGAGCCAATCTGGCTCCCAAACTCAGAAATGAGCTTCAAGTGGGACATGTTGGGGTAAACGAACACCTGGATGGGTTAAAGAGGGAGACATCACACATTGATCCACACTTTCAGACATAAACCTGTCTTAAAAAGAGGCTAAGGAATGTCAAACAAAAATCCCTGCTGAAAATGAGTTGCTCTTTTCAGCCCTGACAAATTAAGGGGGGAAAAAGGGATAGTTTGTCTTTTAAAAAACTCTCTCAATTCTATAGGTGCTTCGGGGCACACAAAAACTGTTAACACTGTTTTGAAAAAGATGCGAAGGGAATGTCCAAAGTATGGTGGAAGTAGTTGAGCTTTATTTGGCCTGTTTAGTAATCAAATCCATCCACTCTTTCACTGAATGGTAAACATTTTTCAATATCTGATTTATTATTGGGGCATGTTTTGTCAAGTCAAGATATGGCACCCCCTTTTCTCTCTTTCTGCTACAATGTGGCTCTTGTTGCTTTCATCAACTTTTGTGGAATCATAGATTACCTACAGTACAGAAACAGGCTATTCAGCCCATCAAGTCTACACCGACCCTCCAAAGAGCATCCCACCAACACCCAGTCCCCTATCCTAGCCCCGTAACCCTGCATTTCCCATGGCTGACCCACCTAACCTGCACATTCCTGGATACCACGGGGCAATTTAGCATGGCCAATCCACCTAACCTGCACATCTTTGGACTGTGGGAGGAAAGACATAGGGAGAATGTAAAAACTCTGTACAGGCAGTTGCCTGAGGGTAGAATCCAACCAGTGTCCCTGGCGCTGTGAGGCAGCAGTGCTAACCATTTTAGTAAATTTGAGATTCCTAATTCAACAGTGGGATTGGATAAAAAGAAACTCTCGAAGTGATTCCTTTATTAGTGAGGAGGTTATCTATTTTCTTTATTCATGTATGGAATGTGGGCATTCCTGACAAAGCAGGCATTTGCTACCCATCCCTGATTACCCTTGAATTGATTGGGTCTCTCGGCCATTTCAGAGGCCATTTAAGAATTTTGCGAGGGCAATTAAGGCAATGATTAATCAGTCATAAAAATCATTTGGATAGAATGTGTGTAGTAGTATAGGGAGAAAGCAGGAGGTTGTCACTAACTAATGATGCTCATTTAAAGAGCCAGTGCATGAGGGGCCATTCTGCACCATTTTGATTCTAGGAGCCACCCATATTGATGTTGGTCTGCAATCATGTGAAGCCCAGACCAGGTAAGAATGACAGATTTCCTTCCTTACAGGACATTAGGTAACCAGGTGGGTTTTTACAACAATCAGTATGTGATTACATGATCGCTATTGGGCAGACTTTTTATTCCTGACTTTTTTTTTTTTAAATTGAATTCAACTATCACCATCAGCTGTGGTGGGATTCAAACTCCTGTCCTCAGAACATCATTCTGGGATTCTGTATCACTCGTCCAATGACATTATCTGCACATCGTTGCCTCCCCAAAATGAATAGCCTTACACCTCCTGGATATGTCATAGGATCATGGGAACAGGAGTGGTTCAGCCCCTCAAGCCTGTTCTGCCATTCAATGAGATCATGACTGATCTGTGGCCTAACTCCATATGTCTGCCTTGGGCCCATAACCCTTAACGCACTTCCTTAATTAAAAAAATTGTCTCTCTCGGATTTAATTGTAACAATTGAATTAGCATCAACCACTGTTGAGTTGCAAACCTCCGCCACACTTTGCATGTCAAAGTGCTTTCTAACATCTCTCCTGAATGGCCTGGTCCTAATTCTTAGACTAAGCCCCCGGTCCTCGAATCTTCAACCAGCGCAAATAATGTATCTTTATCTACCCTGTCTGTCCCTATTAATACACTGAAGACCTTGATTACATCACCCCTTGACCTTCTAAATTCTAGAGAAAACAGGTCTAATTTATCTAATCTCTCCTCATAACCAACAATAAACCTGTGGTGAACTCCCTCCAGGGCCAAAACATCCTTCCTAAGATGGGATGCTCACATCTGCTCACAGTACTCTAAATAGGGTTTAACTCAGGTTTTGTATAACTGCAGCATAATGTCTGCACTCCTATCCTCCAGCTCTTTAGATATGAGGCAGCATTCCATTCACCTTCTTGACTATTTTCTGTACCTGTTCACAGCATTTTAAAGAGCTATGCATTTGAAGCCCCAAAATCTTGTTAGACATCCATTGTATTTCACTTTGTGCCTTCTAAAAGATACCCTTGTCTCAACTTTCTTGGTCCGAAATTGATAATTGCACACTTGCTTATATTAAAATCCATCTGCCACAGCTTTGCCCATTCATCTAATCTATCAATATCCTGTAGTAATTTTATGCTGTCATCAACACTGTCTACAATGCTGCCCAATTTTGTCATAAGCAAATTTGGATATTTAAGTTGTTAATGAATATTGTGAATAATTGCACTGTTCTTTGGGTTTTTATAAGCTCTTTCATTTAATTTTATGCTGTCCCTTACCTTGTTAGATTTACATAACTGTTTTGTTTGTAAGGTGGAGCTTTTCCTTCTCATGAATACAAACTGCTTCTTCTGAATAACATTACATGTTCCTCTGAACACCCTCCACTGTTCTCAGTTGTTTTACCGATTAGCAAAGCTTCCCAGTTTACTGTGGACAGTCTCTGTCTCATCCCATTAAAGTCTACCTTACTTAAATCCAAACTTCTAGTATCCAATCTTTGCTTGACTCTTACAAACACTACATGAAACTCAATAATGTAATGATCACTATTTGACAAAGGTTCTATGTCCCTCTATGGCCTTGCACCCAACCTATTACTGTAATCTCACCAATTCCTACACCCCTCCCAGAACACTATTTCTGTCCTCCTGAACATCTCTGATTAGAATCACTCACAATGGCAGCCAATTGCAATGACCTGAAGATCTGAAATTCCACCCGAGCCGCATTCTTCTGTCTATTGCAAACATACAAATCATTGAACAAGCATTGGTAACATGATATTGTGGTGACTTTAGTACCAGCAGTAGCAACGCTGTGAA